GCAGAGTTACAGGTGTGCGTTTAAAATTGGAGGGACAGTTTTAGGTAGTAGTCTCTCATTACCCTTGCTGGAGTGCTGCTACAGTACCAGGTTCCGGACTGTATATGAAGAAAGTTAGGCCATTTTTGTATGTTGCTGAAAACATTGTTTCATCAAGCTGCTGTACTGAAACCATGGCTTATTTCTGCCATAATCTATGTGCTTCTTGGAGATATCATCCAAGTGGTGATGCACACTTTCTGCTGACCAACCAGCAGGTATTGTTGCAGAAGATGCTTCTACCTCACAGTCTGTAAGTGATTTTGCTCCTTTGGGTAGCATTTGTTCTGGCGCTGCTTGCTAGTGCTGTGGGGTTTTTATTTATTATTTCTGAAGTTATCTGTAAGACTTGAGTCTTACAAAATTAGATGTGCTTGTGAACTCTTATGAGCCCTCTGTTCTTTGTGTGGATGGGACTATTTTCTGTGCTCTGACTAAAACCTTGGGTAAAGTGTTTCGCCATATCCTGTAACTGATTTAGTGCCTTGTTGTCTGACTTGCTTCTGGTTTCTTTCTTACTCCTCTCTCCTCGTCTGTTCTTGCTAACCATTGTAGTAAGTGCTCTCTCATCTACCTTTGACATGGGAACAGTCATCAGGCAACCCTGGCTGTGCGTGGTGTTGGTAGGGACTGATTTCCTACACCCGTAAGAATCCCTGTGTTAAAAGGTTAAGGCTAAGAAGGAAATATGGTTTGAATCACTGCTTCTGGGCAACAGAATCAGTTAATAGAAATAATCTACCTCATCTTCTGGTGAATAGAGTGAGATCAGGTTCCTTGGCAAGTCCTGGACTCTTGTAGTTTGGTTGTCTTTTGGAAGACCCTGTGTTGCTGTTGTGCAATTTCCCCATTGCTGTGACTTGAGACTTTTTGTGATGTGTGCATTTGTCTAGCCTGCTGCACTAGACATAGACGTCACTGCTCCCCTGACGAGAGCAGGAAAAAAAAGAGTTTTGTAATAGTTTTTGAAGAAAAGGTTAACTGGATTAATACTGTTATTTTTAATTCTCCATTTTACTTATCATGGATAGTCAATTTTTGGGAATCCTTTACACTCCGGTGTCTACATAAGATTATATTTTTCATCCTCTCATGTCAACAGGTTTACAGATATGAGCAGCTTATGTGGGCTCTGCTCAACTGCTTGGTTCAAGCTGAACCTGTGGTAGTAATGGAGATGTTAGTGTGTCAGGACCAGCAGCCTGTGGAATAAATGGGATCTCCTTTTCATGGGAAAATGTCTGAAAGGGAGGACAGCCCCCTACTTGGGTTCCTGTTACCCACTCTTGGAACTGGCCGTTTGGGAGCCTGTGTCCTGCCTTCGGGTGGAGGGCACTCGCATAGGACATCTTTAAAGCAGAGAGGGCTCTATGCTGTCTGGAAGGGAGAGGTATCAGATGGTATCTGATGTTTGTGTATCTTTATGATGAATGTTAACACAATGTGGATCCTATTTGTGAACCAAAGTGGAGAAGAGGCCAAGAAACTTTTAAAGTCCCTTTATCCCTGACGTGAGCTAAAGGTGGTGGAGTTACTTCTGAACATATGCCATCTCATGGGCTGGCTGAATGGTTTTGGAAAAGGCAGATCATGTTTTTAAGCTGACAGTCCCTGGTAGTTAGTACTGTAGTGGAGAGCAGAGCATTTCAACTTGTATGTCAGCAGAGTGAACCATGGCATCAGAGCTGCCAATGGCAGTATCCTTGCTGGTCAGGAAGGCTCTCCTGGCTCTGCAGGAGGGGGGAGGTAAGCAAAATGTTAGGGTGAAAGGGCACTGGGCTCTCTTGCTCTTCTGCTACTGGGAATTGCTTTTATTTCTTCCCATCGGCATCGGTATGAAGTAGGTGTGGGCTGGAATTGGAAGTCACAAGTTTTGGTGTGTTCAGACATTTCTTAATCCTTTTTGACTCCCCTCATTGCTGCCCCCCTCCACGCTTTAAGCCTAATATTTTGAGCTGTTGCTGATTATTTCCATGCAGGGTGGTGGGGCCCACTGTCATCTTTCCTATAGCTTTTCTGGATTTTGCTGCTCTACCGTTACTGCCTGAGCTCTGTTACCTCAGCAGATTAAATCCTGGGCAGATTTTGTTCCAGCATCCCTCTGGGCCATCGTGAGGAAGCAGCTCCCTTGTTAAGTTAATGACCTGCGTCCTGCCTCCAAGGCCTTCTTTTGCTGTGCAGCTCTAGGGTGATGTACAGCGTCAGTATTTATGAACTGCCTGTGTCCTCCTGTCATGGTTCCTCACCTAAGGACGCAAATAGTGTTTTACTGTCCTTGAAGGCTCTTTCTGCTGCCTCTGCCAGTCTCTGCCAGCTGAATTGCTGCTTCCTTCCCTTTTTGTAATGTATCTGACAAAGTTGCTTTCCTCAGGACAATGAAATAGCACCAATCAGCTCATTTATGTTTTATTTTCTGATGTAATTTGCTGCCTGCATCTTTGTGTCAAAATTTGTCATTCACTGTTTCTCACTTCTACCTGCGGACGTGTTGGCTGTTCCCTTTTCATGACCACTGCTCTCAGCCTGCTGGTGACTGTGCTCCTCCTCTGTCAGGATTTCATTTGTGCCGCTCTCCTCTCTGCTTGGTATGTCTTGCAGAGCTTTGACCTTTCAGGTGCCAGAGGAAGGAGAATGCTTTTTCTTGCACACCGAGCATCACCAGACGTGACCTTAATAGCACATTCAGCTTTCCTTGACGTTTCTCCATCTGTTCCCTCTTCATAAGGTCTCTTCACAGCCTTTTGCCCATGTCCTGGGCCTCAGCTCTTGTTCATGTGCCTGTCTCCTGCATTCACCCCAAAGAGTCTTGTGCATTGGAGCGAGAACTGCCCTGCACTGGGAATCCAAGTGTCTATTTCAGCCACTTCCCATCTCGTTTCCAGTCTTCAATGGAAGTCTTTTCTCCTAGGAAATACTCTTCTTGCTTGCATTTTTGTAATGCCGCCTCTGCTGTTTTCTTCCAAGTGCTCAGGAGGCAAGTTTTCTTGCAAAAACACAAAGTTGTGTTGCAATGAAGTTATTACAAAGACAACTAAAACTGCTTACTTGGAAGAAATATTTTTTTTTTTTGCAGTGAATGATTTGAGGAATGTAGTTCTTAAAGGTGATGTGTCTCTGTTTTCATGCTGTAGGAACAGCATGTTGCACCTGAAACACCTGTGTACTGGTACTCTGACTGTACGTGCTTGTTTGCAGGATAGGGAGTGCTCCTCCCAACCCCCTGCAATTAGATGTAGTAGAAACGCTAAGGAAAGGAAATTGGTCAAAGGACCAGCCCAGGGAGCTTGTAAATAAAGACAGGAAAAATATAGGAAAGTAGAGGCAGAAAGAATAAGGAAAGAATGAGGTCCTTTTAGGAAAGGTGCTGGCGGTGCTCTCTGTGCTACTCTCAATTTTGAGTTGGTGTGTGTTTGTGTGCATGTGGAAGGGTGCCTTAGCAAAGGAGGGTTGCAAGGAGGATTAGAGGAGAGCATTGAGAACATTTGCAAAAGCTGTTCCATATGAGGTAGGAGCATGTGCCAAGTGCTAGTTTGAAACATTCCCAAGACAGTGATGGTAGCTGACGTCATGCGCCAATAAGAGGTGCAAACTGACCTCTTGATACTGGCAGAGACAAAATCATGATGTTGGGAAAAGTCAAGACAGGTCACCTGTATTTTATGTGGAAGAGAATGGAAGAGAGGGAAGAGAGGCCATTAAAGTGACAGAGCAGATTAACGAGATTTTTTTTCTTGTAGGGATGCGAACGGTAAGGTTACTTTGGTCGGTACTTGAATACAAGGTGTTACAGTGACTGAGATCCAGTCTAGTCTCAGCTAGTTGCTTTAGCTGGGTGAATCAATAGGGCAAGACTGTAGACGGTCATGTGGGGAAGACAACTTGTCCTAGTCAGGGTGTGAAGGTTTAGGAATTGAGTCAAAAAGGATTGCTAGCTTGTGAGACTGATTGACAGGGAAAATAGTAAAGTTTACCAGCAGGGGAGAAAAGCAAAAAGTAGAGGGTAGGTAGCAATATGAAATCAAGGGTTTAGTTTCTCCTCTTGGGTTAGAATTAATGCCTAGGTATCCAAGAAACATCAAAGAAATTGAGATTTTGATTCAGACAGAAGGAAATGGCACTGTGGTGGCTGCAGAGATACAATAGTTATTGCCCACATGTAACATGGGGAAAGGAGGACAGCGCCCAGAGACCCCAGAATACCAGGGGATAGTGGCCCATCATGGGGGTAACGCCAGCCTTGCAGGTTAAAGGGGACAAGGAAAGGGAAAAGACAAAGGTTAATTTAGGCAATAGGAGCAGAACTAGGGGGGGGATAGGTAAAGAAGCTGAAGGAGGATGGAATTTTGAGAAAGTGAATGTGATCAGTTATGTCTGTGGTAACAAACAGGCCAGAAAAAACGAGACAAGAGACTGGCTCTGAATTTGGGGTAAGAATTTGGGGTGTAAGTCAGAAAGAAGTAATGAAAAGGAAGTAAAGGGAGGGAACTTCATGGATCTCTACAGATGAAATATAGTGGGGACATCAATGGCACTGACATGCAGGTGGGTTCAGAAGTCAATTTTTGGGTTGGGAGTTTGTTTGGAGATTCTGAAAGGGTTTGTTTTGGGAAATTAGAGTGGATGGGGAGAGATGGCAAAACGTGAGCACGGAGGAAAGAGTAGGCAGATGTGAAAGGAGGGTACTGAAGCGTTAGAGAAGGAGAACGAGCAGGAGGTCAAAGATATTTAGAGTTTGTTTTGACGCTGGGGAGGGGTGGGTGTATGTGAAGGACACCCATCTGTTCCTTTGAGATAACGGAAGGAAATAGGTCACTAAGTGAGCACACAAAGCGAAGGGCATGGGGAATTAATAGACTGATTGAGTTGAGGGAGAACTTAGCTGTGTGCATGGGTTTGATTTGTGAAGTGTCATATTTGCTACGTTCTCTGTAAATCTCCATTTCTTGATTATGTTTTTGCAGTGCGTCTCCATGACAGTATTTCAGAAGAAGGTTTCCATTACCTCGTCTTTGATCTGTAAGTGTCTTTCTTTGGCTTTGATGCTCCACCAGTGGTACAGACACGTGGATAGTTTACTAAGAGTGGAATAAAAAGCACCTGCATTAATATAATTCTCCCTTACTCTTTCGAGACCTGTAGATACCTCTGGCCTATTTGACAATAAAACCCATTGAGTGTGTGATAGGAGATGGACCAGGAGGGCTCCTGGCAGCAGGTGTAAGCATGGGATGGTAGAGGACAGCTATCCTGTATTGGGGAGGCTGTTTGACTTTTGTCTCTGAGGCAGCCTGGGGTCAGAGGAGGGGTGTTCTGCCCAAGCTTGACATATACTGACCTTTGTAGAGGTGCACGAGCAATTCATACCCAGTGTGTCAGTGATGTCCTGGTGAAATGGCAGTCCCAAGGGGTCAGTCACATGAATGTACCAGTGCTGATGCCATAGTGGTGGAGCTCTACCCTGGCTCCACTGTGCCACAGGTCCCCACACAGGCTGCGGGAAAGGGCCCAGACAGGTGGCCACGTGCGTCTTGTACAGTCTTGAGCTAGGCATGCACGGGCTCTGTAACCTCCCTTGTTCTTCTGCACTCCAGGGTTACCGGTGGGGAGCTCTTTGAGGATATCGTTGCCAGAGAGTACTACAGTGAAGCAGATGCCAGGTAAGACTGTTTCCAGACCCTTCTGTGTGGCGCCACGTGTGTTGGCAAGTGGAATGAGTTTCCTGACTGCTGTTCTGTGCATGGCTTTGTTCTGACACTCTTGCTCCCCATCTGGAAAAAACAATTCCTCTTTCTGCTATTAGCATAAACTATTGTCACCGGTCAGCATGGCTCACCGCAGCTCTAGCCCTTGCCGCTTGCAGATGCTGCTCTTTGCCGCTTGCAGGTGCTGTGTTCTGCCGGGAGACCTGCTGCTAGCAGCTTTGTCTGACCTTTCTGGTGGGTGGTGACAGTGTGTCTTTGGTGAGCAAATGTAGGGTAGAGGTGTCCTGTGGCTGTGAAAGCGCTGCCTGCTTGCCCTCTGCCTTCTCCTAGTGGAGGTTCCACTGATGTGCCATGGCTGTTGGGCAGACCCGTTCGATTTGCCTGTGTCTAATTAGTGGTTTATGAGGCAGGGGAGAGAGGGGGCTTTGAAGGCTATGTTTCTGTGGAAGTCCCCTTTGCCTGTGAGCTGGTTGGCGCAGTGAGAAAAGGCACAATATGTGAGAGCAAGCTTTATATTTTCATATTAAAAAGATTTAGAGTTATGCCCTTCTTTTTCTGAGTGTCCCCCCTCTCTCCCGTGCGTGAGCTTCCTGAAATGGCCTGTGCTTGTCACTTTGTGGTTTATGCAGCAGTAGCTGGGGGTGTTCTCTGACCCGTCCGTCTGCTGGACATGCAGCATTTGGAATCAAAGCTGGAATTAGGCAGCTCCTGTTCTGCTTTAGCAGCGCCTGGGAGTGGTCCGATGGTGACATTTCAGCCCTGCTTATTCTGCACCTGTGTTCTTATCCCATCCTAACCCTTGCTGGGAGCCAGGAATTGGGGGAGCTGTGAGAGGAGAAAGATAAGAAGGGAGTAGTGGGTGCTGCTACGGGGCGAGCTTGGTAGGCAGTACTGTGAGGAAGATCATACTGAGTGGCAGGCAGGGAAGAGTATGACCCGGTGTGTTAGTGTAGGTACTGTTGTGGAGTCTGTGGGTGCTTATTTGCTTTCCCTGTGGTACATTTACAACTTCTGTCTTTTGGGCATTGCCTGATGCTTTCAAATAAGGCATTGCACCGCGCGCTCTGCCTTGAGCCATGTGCTGGTGGGGAAGGCCAGTGGGCTTATCTCTGATGGAATTCCTGGCAGAGAGGTCTGAGAGCCCTGTAGATGTTTTCAGTGGGGTGTACAGATGTTGTAGGCACAGCATCTCGGACAGATGCGCAGTCACTCAAGCTGTTCTGCCTTGAAGTTGGGAAGTTTTGAGGTTATCAATCATCATTGTTCCCCCTGTCCCTCTTGCCAGTGCCTGTTCCCTGAAATGGTCAAGAGCTGTCAGTGATTGACATTGCTCAGGAAAATTACAGCAGGGTTAGGGGAAAAGGCGAACTGTCGGTTGCTCTGTGAGCCTTCCTCAGGGTGCTCAGCCCTCTGACTGTCAGCGGGTCAGGTCTCGCAGTGCCCACAAGATGACAGAGTGAAACTCCTCCCTTTCTCTCCCAGTGCCGAGCTGAATTCCAGAGCAGGCTGGGAGAACGAGGGAGCGAAGTCCGTGCCAATCCGTCGCACTTGGCTCGCCTGGGACACCTCACACTTTTGCCATTTTTGGCCAGAAAATCTCTCTCGCTCAGACTCGACTCTGTTCTAATTATACATTTTTGTTTTGGGAGCGGGGAGATATTCATGGACTCCGACCCTGAGGATTGTACTGCCAGCTCTGGAGGGATAGGGGTAACAAATACACAGTGCTTCACCTCCTCTCCTCTTCCTCTTCCTCCCCTCACCCTCTTTCCATCTTTGCCAGCAGCCAATTTCCTGTCCCTCAAATATTTCACTCATTTCAAATTTGTTCCCCTGGGATTTGTAGAATTCGGTGAGGGGACTGACTGATCCTGCAGCGAGGACACAGACCTATCTCAGTTGCCCATGTCTGGGTGCTTACTGCCCAGCCATAGTTGTCAAAATCCCTACTCCATTCCACATTCACCCTTGGGATCTGAGTAAATGTTTAGCAGAAGACATGTTTTCAACCTGAAAACGCCACGGGTGTGCTGTGCTGTACTTATGTGACAGGTGTAAATAAAATCTTGCTTTTGGCCCTGTGGTTACAGCAGTGAGAGTGGCAGAGGCGTGGGTTTCTGTGAGCTGGGGGAGTGCAGCACACTGCACTTAACAGGGAATGAGTCTGCTTTTCAGATCACTAACCCCTTAAGTGGGATCTGTACTTAAAAGGCAAGCGGGTGTGTGCGCACATTGTGTATGTAAAGTGCTTGAGATGCTGCTCTGAAAGCTTTGCAAACTGGCAGGAACCCAGGAGTCGTCATCCTGAATTTGCCAGGGGAGGCTGCTGCTCTCTTAAAAGTTTATTCTTTGCTTGGGACTAGCCCAGCTGAATGTTTCCTGGAGCAATTGGGTCTTGCTTGCCCAATCTTGGCTGCGTTTGTTCTCCTGTGTGGGGTGGGTGCTGTTGGCTGAAGGAACAAGTGAGACGCTTATTGTGATGGGGAGGAAAGCAAGGAGGTGATGGGAGGTAGGAGAGAGGCTTTGTGGTCCTGCTATAAAAAGGATGTTTAGCATCTTGTTGCTGAGGGGGCTGGGGATGTCCAGCTGTAACAGTACTGAGCTGTGGCATCCAGTGGGCATGATGGAGAGATTCAGCCTGGTGTCTTGAACTCTCCCTGGTACTAATATAAAAGTTAGGGAAATGGTTCTGGGATGAGATGAGATGCCATGTGTATTTGTGAATAACTCTGTGTCTCTCCCTTTATCTTACAGCCACTGTATTCATCAGATACTGGAGAGTGTGAATCACATTCACCAGCATGATATCGTGCACCGAGACTTGAAGGTAATATTTCCTCCGTGCCACAGAGGCTGAGGAGGGCAGCCAGGGGATCATTGGAAGAGGCAAGACAGGAATACTGTGCTGCCAGCTGGCAGGGTTTTTTTTAACTTGAACTGTGCTCAGGGGTTCCTGAAGCACAAATTCGCTCCTTCAGAGTTTTTTTAGAGGGTGTGCTGAACTCCCAAGGAAGTCTTCAGTCTTCATGAACCTTGCCAGCTCTCAGCCTCTCTGAGACAGCTTCAGGATGGAGTAGTTGTGAACCTTGGAGTGCAGTAGGCTTTCAGAGAAACTTGGATAGGATTCGTTATCATGAAGGACACTTTCTAGTCTGCCATTGAAGAGATCTCTAGAGACCTGGGGCAATCTCTGTTCAATCTGCCAGGATGAGTTTGTCTGCACAGAGCATGTATATTTTTATTCTGCACTGTTGCCAAACGCATGCCATTGGGCTAGAGCAGAAATGTACAACAAGAATTTTTCATGTCATTTTCTTTCTTCTCTCATCAGTAGAAGCACTTTTAGTCTGAAACCAAAACTGCTGGCCAGTTAAACACTGGGTGAATCAACCGTTTGCCACATTATTACACATTTATACACCCAGAGCCCCCACAGTGTAGTTACTTAAAGTCCCTTCCCACGCAGTGCCAGCTGTACTGGGAGCTGGGCAGGCTCCAGAATGAAGAGGTTTGTGTGGGAAGGTCTGCCTGCCCTGCAGCCCTCTCTGTCTAAAGTGGAAATGGTGATGGCCACCACTGGTCCAGTTAAGTTAATGCATTATGACACCTGCTACCACTGTTGGTTTTGATTTGTTATACAATGCATAAGGGGAAACGTATAAAAGTATTTTGTAGAGAGCAAGGTAAAAGCATGTTGCAAGCTCGGCTGCAGTGTTCCCCCTGGGTTTTGATCTACTGGAGAGCTGTTAACCCTTAGTGTTTCTGGCAAACTCCCATGCAAAACTTTTGGCTGCCTGATTCAGAGCGCTGTGAAAAGATGAAAGTGATCTACTGCAGAATAGCTGCTCTGGATTAGAGCTGACGCCTGCTCTTGAGAAAGCAGCCTCCAAAAGGCTCTACTGACCAAAATTAGGGCCTCTATGAAAATCAGGATGGTTTAAGTTTTCCTTCACATCCTGTGTTCGGATATAATCTATTTTGCTTCCCAAGTTTTGTTTTGTGTGAAAGTTGTGAACTTGTTCGGAACTTGTCAGCTGCTAAACACTGCCCACTGTAGTTAATGTGTTGCTTGCTCCGATTCACTGAAACTGTCCAGGCCTAAGGAGTAGCCATTCCTTTTAGCAATAAAAGATCCCATGCTCTTTATTTAATATTTAGCTTCTTGCCAAAAGCTGGGCCTTCAGGATCAGTGACCACTGCAGAGCTTGCTTCAAGTAAAATTTTGTCTTTTGCACCTTCCTCTCATAAGCCTGTCTTTTGGCTGACATGCTCTTAAAGAACTTCGAATATTGAGCTGCCCACAGGGACGGTAAGAAATTAGGGAATGTATTCACATCCTTACTAAAATCTATGTGAAACCTGAGACAACCCATATGTTGGCAAACATGCACATGGATAAGCACCGTTAGCCTTAAGGTGTTCGTAGTTGTATTTTAGACGCAAAAAGTGCTTAGCTAGCACAAGCCTGGCCTAAATTTCACTGTTTCTTCATCAAGCCAAGCCCAGGTGTGATCTGCAGTTGTGAGGGAATTTCAGAAGACTTCATTGGTCATCTGCTTTCGGGACTTGTTTACATTGGTGAATTTTTATCAGTGTAGCTTGATTAACACAATCTTTTCCACTTCCCATATAGTGAAAAGCTAGTGGCGTCCACATGTATTGGGACCCGGTTCCCCTTCCTTCCGTGCTGCTTTATGGCAAGGAATGTGATGGGCAAGGCTGTTCTCCCTTCATTCAAAGCAGAAGCAAGGCACGTGCCCAGTACTTTAAGAAAAGTGAATGAGCAAAGCATCTTGCTCCTGTCAGGCAGAATAAGGATAGAGGGTGGCTGTGGGATGAAACTGGTGAGCAGGCTGCAGAAAAGGACTTCATCAGATTTGTGAAACTGAGACAAACTCCTGTTTCTGGATTTCCAGGCTTCCATCTTGCTCGGTTAAAAACTCAAGTTGATATGAATTGCACAAATGACCAGAAAGGGGGTAGGATGAGAAATCACATTTGTCCTGCCTGTCTACAAGTTGGGTTTCCTGCAGAGCTGTAATAGCCGCCACCTTGACGGCTTTGGGGTTTCAAAGTGTCCCGTGTAACTAGCTACTCTGGTGCTTCAGAGAAAGCTGCTGACTCTCAGTACAATTTTTGGAGTTGTGTTAAGCCTTCTGCTGAAGTCCTCTGCTGGAACACAACAGAATTATGATTTGAGTGAGATTCATGTGAGGTGGAAATGTGAGGGGCAAAAACCTGTCTCTCTTTCCTGGCAGATGGGGGAAGTGACATGGCTGCTTGTTGTGTAGGTGACAGTGGCAGTAGCAAGACAGCATATTTTATGCTGCTGTAAATATGTAGCATGAAAAAACAGCTTACAAGAATACTTATTGCTGTGCTGCTTATGCCAATTTGAGGCTGATGCTTTTTCTGTAAGGGATGAAAGCTACTGCCTATCCAGATGATGCTTTCCCACATTGCGCTGCTGTATTTGGCAGTCCTTATTAGCATCATATTTACTTTTCCAGTGCCTTGGGGACTGTGTAATGTTCATGGGGAGAAACATCACTGCAGATTGTATCTACTGCATCTTCCCCCCCGTCCCTCCCCCCTCTAGTTACTCTCTGCAGGGATGATAGAAACAAATTTTGGGTTCTGTGCTGCGGGAACTGTACTGCCAGTGCCCTCTGGTGTCAGCATGTAATGTATGGGCTGGACTGGGAGAGGCTCTGGCCCCCACAGAGGATTTGTGTTAGACTTGAGGATTTTCGGCCACTCTAGGTCAAGGCCATTTGGTGCTGTTGCTCTGCCTTCACGTGAACAGCTTTAGTATATGCCTGCTAAATTCAGTCAGCAGGTTCAATTTACTGATAAGAATTCTGAGGTAGGAGACTTTAACAAGGATGTTGGTGTTTCATTCTTACCCCTTTTTTCTTTCTTCTCCTCAGCCTGAGAATTTACTACTGGCAAGTAAATGTAAGGGTGCTGCTGTCAAGCTGGCTGACTTCGGACTGGCTATAGAAGTTCAGGGAGAGCAGCAGGCCTGGTTTGGTAAGTGTTTGAGCTTTCCCACTTTTGCTCCCCCTTTTCCTGGTGGCTGGTTGAGTTACATCCTTCCTGAGTACTTTCTCTCAGCTCTTCCAGCACACTTGTGTGTATTTGGCATTGCTGCTTTCTTTCCAAGCATCTCAGCGTCTGAGTCCTTGGGCACGAGCCTAGATGCAATAGAGGAAAGAATATGATAAATAAAGACAGAAAAAATGGCTATGTATTTCTCTATTTTTCTTCTTGGTTTACAGCAGATGCTACTGTCAGAGATGAATGCAGCTGCTAAGTTTAGACCCTGATCTGAACTTTCCTACTGCTCAGGAGTGTAGACATCTGGAATTTTGTTTGGTCATTTTACAGAAATGCATTTGACCTGGCGTTCCTCAGGCACATTTGGATCTGGCCTTATCTTTGTTTAGCTAAAACATAATTAGAAACGAGACCTTCTCAGGCTAAACATCAGCTCTGAGACTGCAGCGCTGCGTAGATTTTGGAGAGATGGCTGCTTCTCCTGGTCTGCCCACACCATTTGGCACTCGGATGTGTCCCATCTGTGTCTTGTGTTTTCAAACTCCAAGCCATTATATGTAACAATGATATAAGGCCTGGCATATGAGTTTGTGCTCAGCTGGTTTACACAGTCCCTCTTTCTTTTCTGTTTTTCCTGCAATACATAGGTGCTC